TTCTCCTTCTCCATCTTCTCATCCTTCTCCTTCTCCATCTTCTCATCCTTCTCCTTCTCCTCTTCTCCTTCTCCTTCTCTTCTCTCTTCTTCTCTCATCCTTCTCTCCTTCTCCTTCTTCTCATCCTTCTCCTTCTTCTCATCCTTCTCCTTCTTCTCATCCTTCTCCTTCTCCTCATCCTACTCCTTCTTCTCATCTCTTCTCCTTCTCCTTCTTCTCTTCATCCTTCTCCTTCTCCTTCTTCTCATCCTTTCTTCTCCTTCTCCTTCTTCTTCATCCTTCTCCTTCTCCTTCTTCCTCTCCTCTCCTTCTTCTCTTCTCCTTCTTCTCATCCTTCTCCATCTCATCTCATCCTTCTCCTTCTTCTCATCCTTCTTCTTCTTCTCATCCTTCTCCTTCTCCTTCTTCTCATCCTTCTCCTTCTTCTCATCCTTCTCCTTCTCTCATCCTTCTCCTTCTTCTCATCCTTCTCCTTCTTCTCATCCTTCTCCTTCTCCTCATCCTTCTCCTTCTCCTTCTTCTCATCCTTCTCCTTCTCCTTCTTCTCATCCTTCTCCTTCTCCTTCTTCTCATCCTTCTCCTTCTCCTTCTTCTCATCCTTCTCCTTCTCCTTCTTCTCATCCTTCTCCTTCTCCTTCTCTTTCCTCATCTCCAAGGGCATTTAAATTAAAGGTACAGTGTTCTGCACTAATTTAAAGGCTCTCTGAAGCCTAGAAACCCTTTTTTATAAGTCATCTTCGTAGCGAAGAAATTCGCATCGAATCGAATTTCACACTGGAATTCGCCGAATCAGCCGAATCGAATTTTTGAGAAATTCGCTCATCTCTAATGAAGACCTTTTCCCTCTCCGTCTCAGCTTCTCCAATGGACCGCCAGTCCTGATGTACCTCCGCATGCACCCTCCATGTCACCGGCCTTTTTATTGCTGCATTTTCACTACCTCTGAAGGAAGCCTGGGGGATGGTCCTGCAGTTTTTCTCTAGCCCTGTTTGTAATGTATATGCTGATTTGTCCGCTGCATAGTCTCTGGAGAGTATGGATCTCCAGACCCTCTGCCCGGCCCCTGTTTGGTTGTATGGCCTCCCAGGGGTCTTTAGATGATCTTGCAGCGGTCAGAGCTGAATTCCATGCCCTCCATTACATATTGTCTGTATTTCCCTGACCATGATCCCTACTGTTCTTCATCAGAGTTTACTGTGAGAGGCTTCATACTCCAGCTCGCCTTTATACCTTTTCCAGGGATAGTGTGGGATGGCGGGGGGAGACTGGGCTGGGGGGAGGAGGGGATCCGGGACCTGGGCTGTCCTTTTTATACTATTATTATGTTACATATCTGTTTGAAATCAAGTATCACCTCGTTTCACTCTCCAGGTGTTGTTCCCTGCGGGGTCCAGCCCCCTCCTTCACCTCATGTCATAACACCCATCTAAACCACATTTACTGCTTACAGGTTTTGAAACCATCATTCGGAGTTTCTACTGAGCTCCCCCCCAGTCCCGTCGTCTCTCCCCTTGCCTAGCTACCGTTATTTTCTATTTTTAGACACGAGGTGCTACTTGATTTTTAGAATGTTGTGGAGCCCTGAGGGAGCGGGGTGGGAGATGGATGGTTTGAGTTTTTGAGAGGGAGCCGGGAAGAGAATAGTTAGGACAGATGAGAGATACCTTAGGGTTCCAAAAAGAAATGGTGCACTATGTCTCATTTTTCCCAATTGTTTCCTTTGATGGTTGCTTTTTTTTGAATGGTTGCCCTGATGTTTCTGTGATGTTGCAATGTTTTTGCCCTAAAGAGATTATGATACGATTTGCTTTTCATCTTAATGATATGCAGGTTTTCCATCGGGCTTTCACTGATGTTTTTTATTTTCAGCATGGACTCGCACACTGGCCCTGCCACGGCACACCTATGATACCACAACTCTGCCCATAACTTTAGGATCATGCTACGACTGCATTCAACTTAGATGTGCATTTTCTCATTTCCCTACATACAATGCTTCCACCACTATACACCCTAATGATATATATTTGGTCTCCTTGCCCTCTTGACATTTATTACATTTTCCTTCCTTATCCCTAAGCTTGTTGCTGCGTCTTACCTCACCCATTATGTCGGACAATGGCGGTTGTGCTCCCATCTATATCTTCATTCAAATGAATTGTGCTCACCCTCCCTCCCCGATTCTCGCATTTTTTAAGGTCCATGGCCCGACGGACTCTTTCATTTTGGACCTAAGTCCACCGCGTTTCCCACACAGTGAGCTTTGAGAGCTCTCGCTGAACTTTTTCGGGCCGTCTTTACCCCTTGTCCTCTGCCTCTCATCTCCTTTCATTCCCTGTTCCTCTTTCTGCGATTTTCCTCCTACCCCTTCTTCTTTCTTGTTCTTCTTTCCTCCTTCCCGTATCTTGGTGGGTCAGCTGGTCTACCCCCACTGCCGGTTATCGCTCTCTCTCTCTTTTCTCCCCTCATTTCCCTCTTCCTTTTCATTTATTTTTTTTTCCCCCCCCCCTTCTTCTCCCTCTCACCCCCTCCCTTTTTTTTTTTTCTTCTCTTCTCTCTCTTCCCCATACCCCCTTTCCCATCCCCTTTAAGTTCCCTTTACTCTCCCGGATATGCCTTCTCTCAACTCCCTGTCAGGACATCTTTCGCTGAAAGTTCTGTCTATTAATATGAAGGGTCTGAAGGTCTGAATACCCCTGAAAAGCGCTCTCTCCTGCTTTCGCACCTTTTTAAACAGAGAGCGGATATTGTCTTTCTTCAGGAAATGCACTTCCGTCACGATGCCATACCCAAGCTTACTAACTCCCGTTTTCCGACAGTTTATCATGCTCCTAACACTCATGCTAAATCTAAAGGCGTTTCCATTTTGATTGCAAAGCACCTCCCTCTGGCTATCTTGAAGTCACTTCCGGATCCGGATGGTAGATTCCTGTTTCTAAAAGGTAATTTTGCCAATAGGCCCATCACTTTAGCAAATCTTTACGCACCCAACACTAGACAGGTATCCTTTTTCCGCTCCATTACCTCTTCACTCTCCTCCTTCCAGAAGGGTATCCTAATCTTGGGAGGTGATCTTAATGTTCCCCTATGCCCTTTATTGGACTCTTCCTCGGGAAGCTCTTTCTTGCCATATAAATCCATTAGACAGACTTACACTCAACTTCAAGATCTGCAGCTTCACGACTCTTGGCGAGTCCTCCCCCATGTCAAAGACTGTACATTTTTCTCCCCTTCACACAACAAATATTCCAGAATCGATTACCTCTTTATCACGCAAACTGACCTCTCTTTCCTCCATGATTCTTCCATCTAACCGATGATCCTCTCTGATCATCACCCTATCTGTCAGGGCTCCCGGGTATGACCAGAGGTGTGTGACTGATGCAGGGAAATGCAGACTTCAGATATGTTATAAACAATGTAATTTATTAACACTAACCATACAAACATAAACGCAGTGCAATACTAAAACATAACACAGTGCAAACAAACCAACCAACCACCCACAGATAACAGTACATACAATGCAAGCGTCGTCAGGCAGGCCGGGTCAATATCAGTCGGGCAGGTAGGTACAGGGGAGCAAGCGGAGAATGGTCGGGGTCACAGGCCAGGTTCAGCAGGTAGCGGGCAGCGTGGTACAGAGGGTCAGGCAGAGGAGAATGGTCAGACAAGCCAGGGATCAGAGCAGGGTCAGCAGAGAATCAGACAGGAACAGAGAGCAGGAACAGGATACAGGGCCCAAGAGAAACACAACACCAAGGCAGAGTCTGCAGGTCTGAATGTCCCTTAAATACACCAGTATAATTAGTTCCAGGTGTTTGACTGGCTGCAAGGTTGAGTCTCTGATTGCTGGGAGCACCCGCTGGCCAGCCCTGGTACTGCAGCTCATAAGGCAGCTGAGTCCCACTATTGCTGGCCAGTCCATTCCTGACAGTACCCCCCCCCCTCAAGGAGCGGCCTCAGGACGCTCCAAACAGTCCTAGCTGGGCAAAATGTTCCCACCGCCCGGGTCTGGTAACTGGCGGGATATCAAAGACTGGCACACCGGGCAGGACTCCGGGCAGCGGCACACCGGGCAGAGGCACATCGGGCTGGACTCCGGGCAGAGGCACATCGGGCTGGACTCCGGGCAGAGGCACATCGGGCAGTGGCACACCGGGCAGAGGCACATCGGGCTGGACTCCGGGCAGAGGCACATCGGTGGACTCCGGGCAGAGGCACATCGGGCTGGACTCCGGGCAGAGGCACATCGGGCTGGACTCCGGGCAGAGACACATCGGGCAGAGGCACACCGGGCAGAGGCACACCGGGCAGAGGCACATCGGGCTGGACTCCGGGCAGGGACACATCGGGCTGGACTCCGGGCAGAGGCACATCGGGCTGGACTCCGGGCAGAGGCACATCGGATTACCAGGCGAAGCAGCAGGCAGCGGGCCACCAGGCGGAGCAGCAGGCACCGGGCCCCCAGGCGGGCGGGGCAGCAGGCACCGGGCCCCCAGGCGGAGCAGCAGGCAGCGGGCCCCCCGGGCGGGAGCAGCAGGCACCGGGCCCCCGGGCGGAGCAGCAGGCACCGGGCCCCCGGGCGGGGCAACAGGCATCGGGCCCCCGGGCGGGGCGACGGCATCGGGCCCCCCGGGCCCCCTCGGGCAGGGGGCGACCGGCATCGGGCCCCCAGGAGGGGGGCGACAGGCATCGGGCCCCCAGGCGGGGCGACAGGTGTCGGGCCCCCAGGCGGGGCGACAGGCATCGGGCCCCCAGGTGGAGCGGCGGGCGCCGGACCCCCCAGGCGGAGCGACAGGTCTCGGGCCTTCAGGCGGGGCGGCGGGCGCCGGGCCCCCAGGCGGAGCCGGCCCCAGGGGAGCGACAGGTCTCGGGCCCCCAGGCGGAGCGACAGGTCTCGGCCCCCCCAGGCGGAGCGCGGCGGGCGCCGGACCCCCAGGCGGAGCGACAGGTCTCGGGCCCTCAGGCGGAGCGGCGGGCGCCGGACCCCCCAGGCGGAGCGACAGGTCTCGGGCCCTCAGGCGGAGAGCGGCGGGCGCCGGACCCCCAGGTGGAGCGACAGGTCTCGGGCCCCCTCAGGCGGAGCGACAGGTCAGGTCTCGGGCCCCCAGGCGGGGCGGCGGGCGCCGGACCCCCAGGCGGAGGACAGGTCTCGGGCCCCCAGGCGCAAGCGATCGCTGGGCAGCGGGCATCAGGTCTCACCAGGCCCAGGCGAAGGCGGGCACCGGTCACCAGGCACGACAGTGGGCTCCGAGTCAACTGGCATGACCGCGGGCACTGGGTCAGACATTGGATCGTCTGACTGGACAGCGGGCATCGGGTCACCAGGCATCAGGTCATTTGGCTCGACAGCGAGCACCGCGTCATCTGGCAAGGCAGTGGTCTCCGAGTCAACTGGCATGACCGCGGGCACTGGGGCAGACATTGAATCGTCTGGCTGGACAGCGGGCATCGGGTGGCTCGACAGCGGGCACCGGGTCACCTGGATTGTCTGGCTCGACAGCGGGCATCGGGTCACCAGGTATGACAGCGGGCACTGGGTCACCAGGCATCAGGTCATTTGGCTTGCCAGCGGGCACCGCGTCGTCTGGCAAGGCAGTGGGCACCGGGTCACCAGGCATTGGATCGTCTGGCTCGACAGCGGGCATCGGGTCACCAGGTATGACAGCGGGCACTGGGTCACCAGGCATCAGGTCATTTGGCTCGCCAGCGGGCACCGCGTCATCTGGCAAGGCAGTGGGCACCGAGTCACCAGGTACGACAGCAGGCTCCGAGTCAATTGGCACGACAGTGGGCACCGGATCAGGTACCGGATCATCTGGATCAACAGCGGGCATCGAGTCAACTGGCCTAATAGGATCGTCAGGCTGGATCAGTTCATCATGCTGGGTAGAGGCATCAGGCTGAATGCCGGCGGGAGGCCGTAGTAAGGCCAGGCTGAGTAGAGGCTTCAGGCCGAGTAGAGGCTTCAGGCCGAGTAGAGGCATCAGGCTGAGTAGAGGCATTCAGGCGAGTAGAGGCTTCAGGCCGAGTTCAGGCCGAGTAGAGAGGCATCAGGCCGAGTAGAGGCTTCAGGCCGAGTAGAGGCTTCAGGCCGAGTAGAGGCATTCAGGCCGAGTAGAGGCATCAGGCTGCGTACGAGTAGAGGCATCAGGCGAGTAGAGGCATCAGGCGAGTACAGGCTGAGTACAGGCATCAGGCTGAGTACAGGCATCAGGCTGAGCATCACAGGCATCAGGCTGAGTACAGGCATCAGGCTGAGTACAGGCATCAGGCTGAGTAGAGGCATTCAGGCTGAGTAGAGGCTTCAGGCTGAACCACGGAAGGCAGGTTCAAGGCAGGTTCACCGGTTTGGATACTGGCAGGATGGTATTGGTTGGAAAGAAATTTTCGCTTTTTTCTGGTTTTAACTACTGGAGCACTGCAAGTAAACGCAGGTCTGCAAACGAATGGAGCAGCTGGAGACAGAGAAGAGCTGGAGGATGGAACAGGAGAGGGAGCAGTTGCTACAGAGGGCTTTTTTACAGGGTTAAAGGCAGGATAGGTGCAGCGAGTGGGAACAGGGTACTGACATGCGGTAGATAGCAGGGCAGGAGGAGCTGTTGGGAATGCAGGAATAGATTTTGAGGAAATAGATTAGAAGCAGGACTGGGTTTTTGTAAGCTGACTGAGGCTGGGTGCAACAAGTCTGTCCATGTCTGCAGTATGGGTTGAACAAAGCTGAGCTTACACAAAGCCTGTCTGACCAAAGACTGCACTGCGTTTATACAATCTCTTAGTGTCTGTGGTGAACATGTGGAATAACGCTCCAAAAGTAACCCACATCATCCTCTAATAACCATACCAGGGACTCTACCTGGTCTGCACTAAATGGTGGCAAAAATTCATCCCTGCATTCGGGGGTACCAGATGAAACCAACTCAGCACAAACCTCAATCAAAGGCTGCACCTCAGAGAACTCTGTGCCCTGATCTACTAGAACATGAGCGAGCCGTATACATTCTAGCAGTTCATCCCGGGTATACTCCTTCAGAGTTTGATAAGCATACTCCCTGTCATCAAACACTAGCAGATATAAATACGCAACCTCATCCAGATCCATCCTTCCCATCAACAAGCCAAGATGGCTTCCCTGTGCAGCCACTTCTGGTCAGGATTGGCCTTGGTGTAATGTCAGGGCTCCCGGGTATGACCAGAGGGTGTGTGACTGACGCAGGGAAACGCAGACTTCAGATATGTTATAAACAATGTAATTTATTAACACTAACCATACAAACATAAACGCAGTGCAATACTAAAACATAACACAGTGCAAACAAACCAACCAACCACCCACAGATAACAGTACATACAACGCAAGCGTCGTCAGGCAGGCCGGGTCAATATCAGTCGGGCAGGTAGGTACAGGGGGAGCAAGCGGAGAATGGTCGGGGTCACAGGCCAGGTTCAGCAGGTAGCGGGCAGCGTGGTACAGAGGGTCAGGCAGAGGAGAATGGTCAGACAAGCCAGGGATCAGAGCAGGGTCAGCAGAGAATCAGACAGGAACAGAGAGCAGGAACAGGATACAGGGCCCAAGAGAAACACAACACCAAGGCAGAGTCTGCAGGTCTGCATGTCCCTTAAATACACCAGTATAATTAGTTCCAGGTGTTTGACTGGCTGCAAGGTTGAGTCTCTGATTGCTGGGAGCACCCGCTGGCCAGCCCTGGTACTGCAGCTCATAAGGCAGCTGAGTCCCACTATTGCTGGCCAGTCCATTCCTGACACTATCACTATAACATTACGATTTCCGGAGAAACATTCCCGTTCTAAGATATGGTGTTTGGATGCCTCTCTTCTTTCTGACTTGGCCAATGAAGCAGAGGTTCGCTACCAATTAACGAACTACTTTTCGAACAATCAAACTGCAGATACCTCTTCGTTAACTCAATGGGAGGCACATAAATGCGTCATTCGAGGAGTCCTATTAGCTATGGCCACAAAACATAAAAAAGAGAGACAGACTCGCTTACAACAACTCTTAGATCGCATTAAATTCCTGGAAAAGGCGCACAAACAAAATCAGGCCGCCTCGACTTTATCTGATCTTACGGACACCCACACACAGCTCTTAAACAAACTAGGCAAGACAGCTAAGCGCAGATTTATTTTGTCGCAAAGACGTTTTTGTGAGTTTGCTAAGAAAAGCGGGAGATTCTTAGCCAGATCCCTCCAGACAAAAAAATTGAGTTTAACGGTTCACAAGATTAGGGGCTCGGATGGCTCTTTGGCCACCTCAAATGCGGATATAGCATTTCACTTCGAGCAATACTACAAAACATTATACAATCTCCCTCCAGAACGTCGCCCTTCTGATGCCAATAAGCCTAGAGACACCTTAATCTCTGACTTTCTTCGCCTCTATAGTCATTCCACTGTACCTGATGATAACATGGAACATCATATCACGGCGGAGGAACTCTCCCGAGCCGTCCAGCAAATGAAACCTGGTAAAAGCCCGGGCCCTGATGGTCTTTCTGTGGCATATTACAAGGAGTTTCTAGATATTTTGAGTGGACCCTTCCTCTCCGCCTTCAACACTTGTTCTTCACCCTCCACGCAACATCATCGCCTCTTGGAAGCTCATATCACTGTCATCCCCAAAGAAGGTAAAGATGTCACTTTGGTTACCAATTATAGACCCATCTCTCTTTTGAACGTAGACATCAAAATCTACGCAAAGATCCTAGCCAACCATCTTCTTCCCTTGTTACCCTCCCTGATTGACCTTGACCAAGTGGGCTTCATCCCGGGAAGGGAAGAAAGGGATAACACCATCAAGGCTCTTAACCTTCTCCACCGACTTCACGATTCTCGCAGTCCAGGATTTATTCTTTCCCTAGATGCCGAGAAGGCTTTTGATAGGGTGTCCTGGGATTACTTAAAGGCATCCCTACAGGCGATTGGTTTAGGGGACACCATGCTCAATTTCATTATGGCACTGTATTCTGGTCCAACGGCTCAGGTCCGTGTGAATGGGCATCTATCTCATCCATTCCCTCTTGGGAATGGTACGCACCAAGGTTGCCCCCTATCCCCGCTTCTTTTTGTGATATCACTAGAACCATTGTTATGCAAACTCCACTTAAACCCAGATATCAGGGGTATTTCCATGGCGAACAAGGAATACAAACTTGTTGCCTACGCAGACGACATTCTTTTGTTTTTGACGGAGCCCCGGATCACCTTGCCCAACCTACTTAAGGATTTTTCCTTTTTTCAATATATCTCGAATTTCAAAATTAATCATTCCAAATCCTGTGCCTTAAACATTACTCTTCCTCCAGACCTGGTTTCCTTTTGTCAGTCACAGTTCCCGTTTCAATAGGAAAGGGACTCCCTTACCTATCTGGGAATACAGCTTACGAGTAACCTCTCTGATTTTTATGTCAAAAACTTTCTTCCAACCCTTGGTGCCATCTGAGCAGACCTAACTAGGTGGCATCGCCCATGCTTCTCCTGGTTTGGTAGGGCTGCTATACTAAAAATAAATATCCTCCCATGCCTCCTCTATGCATTTCAAACCTTACCTATCCATTTACCACCCGCCTTTTTTGTTTCATGCTGAAGAATGTGCTCTCTTTTTCTCTGGAATCATAAACGGCCATGTATTTCCTTCTCCTAACTTGTGCTCCCCAAATCCAAAGGGGGATTGGACTACCTGACCTGCAATTTTACCATCTGGCCTGCCTTCTTACTAGGATAATCAATTGGAATATTCACTTTACCACCAAAGCGTGGGTCCAGCTGGAACACTTGTTCCACTTCCCCCTTGGCATCGATCCCGTGGCTTCTGACCAAACACATTCCACAAGACCTCCTCCTACATCCAATAATCGGTCCTTCCCTTAAAACCTTTCGCTTAGCATGTAAATCGGCCTCCAATTTGGATGCCCCCAACCCACTAACTTCTCTTTGCCTCAATCCGGACTTCCCTCCCAGTATGCATAGGTCCTTTCCATCAGCACCTTGGCCACACAGTCAAGTTTTGGCGAACCAATTTTTCACAAAGGTCAGCTGAAGTCTTGTTCCCTTTTGGGCCTATCTTCAAATCAGACATTTTCTTCTCTCTCCTGCATATCGCCATAAATGGGTTTGCCCTCTCACCTCCTTTGAGTCACTAAGTTCAAAGGCTGAACCACGGAGGCATTTAGTATCATTTACCTATCTTCTTCTTCTTGGTGACAGAACCTCTGATTCACTTCCCGCCTGCAAAGCTTGGAAAAGAGACTTAAACTTTGACTTTTCTTCCTCTGATTGGGACTAAATCTTTACCTTTTCTCATAAGTGCTCCTTGAACGTTTCGGCACAAGAAAACGGATACAAGTTGGCGACACGTTGGTACAATACACCTTCTAGAATCCATCATCTTAATCCATCCAGACCCAGTACTTGTTGGAGATGTGGGGTTCCTGTTGGATCTCTTCTTCATATCTGGTGGGACTGCCCTATGGTTCAGCCCTTTTGGCAGGAGGTACATTGCATTACTTCTTCAGTGTCTACTCTTGATATTGAGTTCTCTCCAGCCCAACTCCTCCTCCACCACACTCCGCTTCCCAAATGTCTATATGTCAAATCTCTGGCTATGCATAAGCTTAACGTGGCTAAA